GCGGTCCCTGATGCTTTGCTAAGCTTGTTCTAAGTAGGTGCTTTAGACCACTGAGCCATCTCTCCAGCCCCAAAATTGTGTATTTTTGATGGACAGTGTGATCTCATATATTTTTATATCATGCCAATTAATATTTTCATCATTGGGGCCAGGGAGATGGCTCAGTGGAATAAGCACTTCCCTGGCAAGTGTAAGGGCCTGAGTTCAATTCCCGGTTCCACCAAAATATATGTATATGTATATATTTTTTCCATCACTTCATAGTTTTGAGTAATAAGAACATTTAATATCTTTTTGGGGGGGTACTTGAAGTTAATTTACAACCTCTTGCTAGCCAGTCCGGCGCTGTGCCACTGAGCTATATCCCCAGCCCTTGATATCTATGTTGGCAGCGTTCAAATACGCTATATAGTATATACTGTACACAATATACAGTATAAATAGCTTTAAATAAACTGTGTTCATCCTGCCATTGATTAGGTATCCACAACTGATCCATTCCAACAGAAACTTTGTATGCTTTACATCTCTCTGTTCCTCCTTCAGGTTCTAACAGCTCTAAGGAACAGATTACTATAAATTTTGTACTAGGTTTGGTGCACCTATTCTCCTTGATCTTTTATATATTCTTGATCAAGTCTCCTACTCTTGAAAGAAAATAGTTTCTATTTTACCATGTAAGTCCCTGTGCCCTTTGCTCTCTTTTTCTGCATGTTTAATCAGTTCCTTTTTTTTTTTGTCCAGATAAGCTCTAGGATCACTTCAACTCCTAAAACTATTTCATAGAAAAGTTGAAATTGCATTAAAATTCAGAGTTCACTTTAGGAAATAACATCACATTCATAGACGGAATGGCTTGATTTTAAAGGTGGTTGTCTGACTGCACTCTTATCGGATCATTTAATACCTGTCACATAATATCTCACTGTCATATCGCCAAATACCTCTGTCCCCTGAGAGTATCTAAGATGACCTTGAGGTTCAATTAAATGCTTGATTTTACGGCAAGAATTTTTAAAGGTGGTACATTGTTAGGGGGACTAAGCATCCCATTTGCCCTTGACTAAGAGGCACTGAGGGTCGGACTTCGATGGCGAAACCTGGAGGGCTGTATTTCCTTTTGTGTCCCAGCAGGACGCATAGGAGGGCTCTCTCACCATTTTTATCTTCTCTTGTTTTATTTTTTGGTAGATGAAAAACCAGAAGTTAGATTTTATTTTTCCAAGATGCTTTAGAGTTGAAAAAATCTCTCCTCCTCTCTCTGTCTCTGTCTCTGTCTCCCTCTCTTTCCTTCTCTCTCTGTGTCTATCTGTCTGTCTGTCTGTCTGTCTCTCTCTCTCTCTCTCTCTCTCTCTCTCTCTCTCTCTCTCATCCTTTTGAGACAGGGTTTCTCTATGCAGTTCAGGTTGGCCTTGAGCTCACTTTGTGGCACAGGCTGGTTTTGAACTCACAACAGTCCTCCTGCTTCAAGTCTCCTGAGTGCTGGGATTACAGGAATGTGCCACCATGCCCAGCCAGATGGATATTTTTGTGGTGGTGGTGGTACTAGGAATTGGTCCCAGGGCCTTCACCCTGAACTACATACTCAGCCTTTTTTTTTTTTTTTTTAATTTATTTATTTTTGTTTTCAATACAGGGTCTCACTACACAGTTCAGACTCGTAGTGATTCTTCTGTGTCAGCCTCCCCAGCACTGGGATTATAGGTGTGTGCCACCACACCAGGTTCTGGGGCTGACACAGCATGTGGTACCGAGGATCAAACTCAGGTCCTCGCACTTGGTGAGGCAGGAGCTTAGACTGCTGAGCTATCTCCTCAGCCCTATTTTATCTTGTATATTATTTTTTCGTTAGTGCATGTTTGTCATACGCAATGATCCCATTCATCATAGGGAATTTATATGTGTACGTAATATATCTGAATTGCTTTTTCCCATTTCCCTCCCTTCTTTTTAGCCCCTTCTTTCCTTCCCCATTTACAGCAGCTCTATATCCATTTTTTCCTTCAATTCTTTTTTTTTTTTTTTTTTTTTTTTTTGGCAGAACCAGGGATTGAACTCGGGCCCTTGTGCTTGCCAGGGAAGCACTTAACCTACTGAGTCATCTCCCTGGTCCCCCCTTCCATTCTTTTTTTTTAAAGAAAAATCCTTTTCTCTTCCTCCTCTTTCCCCTCCACCATGCCTTGTTTCCCTTCCCATTAGAGTTCTTCCTCCTAATATCTGTCCTCTGTTTATCCTTTGAGTTTCTCACACAAGCTGCCATCTTTCTGTGGCATGAGTTTGTCTGGTGAGTGGCTTCGGGAGGGTGACCTGCTGTATCACCATGAAGGTCCCTGTGCGCACGTCCTTGGCATGCCTGGGACAGACCAGTTCACCGTAGTTGTCCCTCATGATGCTTGTCTAGGTCAGAATCAACACATTAGTGCTCCCCGTGGAGGTTGGTTTAACTGGAAGTAGAGTGTGAGGGAAGGATTGAGGTTCAGGGGACCTGCTGAAGGAGGGCTCTTCAGAGAACTGTGGAAGGGAGAGAGAGAAGCAGGAAGCAGAAAGGAAAGTGGACCAGGAAGCTAAAGCCTGGCCTGGCCTGGCCTGGCCTGGGAGCATGGGGGAACTATGGGGTGAAAACTGTACTCAGCAATTGCTGGAGCCGTGGCAGGGCCAGCCTTTTGGGTGTCCACAGTTGTGCCTGGTTGGCTGTAGGCTTTAGGGAGGACATCAGGTTGTCTTAGGGTCTAAGGTCCCAGAGCAGCAGCTGTGAGTGGTTAGCAGCCAATGCCGCAGCAGCTAGACTGATCTCGGGGGGCAGCAGTACTCGGCATCACCCTAAGATTTTAACAGCTCTGGATGATCAGAAGGTGCCGTTTGGGAAGTACAAATTCAGACTACCTCGAGGCATCCCCTCAGTCTATTTACACTGGCTGTTACCAAAAACCAACAAATGCCTGTGAAGGTACAAAGAAAGAGGAATGCTCATACGTGGTTGGTTGCGAGTGCAAGTCAGGATAACCATTATGGAAAACAGTGTGGCAGTTTCTCAAAAAGCAGAACCATCATATGGCCTAGCAGTTGCAGTCTCTGTCTGTCTGTCTGTCTGTCTCTTTTCTCTTTCTTTCTTTGATTTATTGGGACAAAGCCTTACATGCTTCAGGCTGGCCTTGAGCTCATTGCTAGTCCCCCGCCTCAGCCTTCCGAGTGCCGGGATTATATATGTGCACAGCCCCACCCTGCTCTTACCAGTTTTTGGACCAATTCTGAAAATCCTCTTGACCAAGTGTCTTTAGCAGGTATGATTAAAAAAGAAAAAAAAAAAAAGAATGGGATGTTCCTACCCAGTCCATTCCGTAGAAAATGGGCTCCTAAAAGCACCACGCTGTCTCATCTACCTCGCTTCCCAGATCTGCCACTGTGTGACCAGATGTGCCTCTTTTGCAAAATCAAATGATCATGAAAAGAGTTTTTTGTTTTTTTTTTTTTTTTTTTTTTGGGCAGAACCAGGAATTGAACTCAGACCATTGCGCTTGCCAGGGAAGCACTTATTCCACTGAGCCATCTCCCCGGCCCCATGAAAAGAGTTTTGAATTGATGCATTGCATTGCCGCAGCCAGGAGAGCGCAACTAAAGACATGCTAGAAAGAGCCTTCTAGAACTGCTTCAGGAGATTGACAGGAACGATGGGAAAAGGGTATTCAAAGCAAGGGGAAGAATTTTGAAGGGAATTAATGCCTATGCATCTTTTACTGTCATCGTTTCATTGTTTTTAGGCAGGGCCTTGCTATGTAGCCCAGGATGGACTTGAACTCTGGGCTCCTTCTGCCTCAGCCTCACAAGTGTTGGGATTACAAGCATGCGCCATCATGCCCCGCTTAATTTTGAAAATTTAAATGTGTACCATATTTTTTTTTTTAATCACACCTTAGTATGTCTGAGTAGACTGATGGACCGCTTACTGCGATCAGGCGCTTACCCACAATGTATACACATTGCATATCTGTATCAAAACACCACGCTGTAACTTGTAAACATGGGTCAATCAAGGCAGTAACAGAAAGGATGCCACTTAACGCGAACTTTAATTAGAGAAGCTATGATTTTCAGAGGAAAAGATGCAGTGAAAACTCACCTTTCAGGTGCTGCCTCCTTTCCTCCAGGTCTGTCTGCTGTACAACAAAGGCGGTGACCCCCTCTATGGTTACTGCAACCTCAAGGACAAGTGCCACAAATTCCACGTCTGCAGAGCCTTTGTCCGGGGGGAGTGCAGATCCCCGAGCTGCACAAGGTCCCATCAGCTAGCGCCTGCCGCCGCCGCCCTGAGTCTGCTGCAGGATCAAGGAATGAGCGTCCCAAGCGTCATGAATTTTCAGATCATCGCTGCCTACAAGCATATGAAACTGCACCAGAGGCTCGAACGCAGAGGTGAGTGAGGCAGAGGGAGAACGGGTGCTGTGCAGTGAGGGGGGTTTGAGGCACTGTATTAGTTACTCTTCTCTTGTTGCTGGGACAAATACCCGAATCTCAAAATGAGGGAAGGAAAGGTTTATTTAGCTCACAGTCACTGGAGGTTTCTAGACACTGGGGGAAAGGCTGGGGTGCTGCGGTGTCCAGGATGACCCTCTCCACACATGTTTGAGAAAGCACAGGCTAGCCACTTTAACGGTTCACACCTCTCTGGTCTCAACCCCTCGGGCCCTGCCCCGGTCCTCTGGCCCCGCCCCTCAAGCCCTGCCCTGGTCACCTGGCCCCGCTCTCAAGCCCCGCCCTGGTCATCTGACCCTCCCAAGCCCTGCCCTGGCTCTCTGGCCCCGCCCCCTAAGCCCTGCCCTGGTCCTCTGGCCCCACCCCTCAAGCTACTCACTGGTCCTCCAGCGGCGCCAACATGAGGCATTGGGGGGAAAACTAGACACAAACCATAACAGGCGCTATGTGCAGTAAAGAAATCAGGACCTCCCTTGGAAGGGAGCCTGAGGAGGAAGGCCTTCCTGCGTGAGCTGCAGCTTCGTCTGGGAATCGTGGGACGGTCAACATTTTATTAGGTAGAATTGCGGTCTAGGCAAGGAAGAGGGGACACCACCACTTTAGACTCTGCCTAAATGTCTGAACAGCATGGCTCCTGGACAGTTTGGAGGCCAGGAAGGAGATGGGACAGTGACAGGAGACGGGGTGGCAGGTGGAAATGTAAGGGTAAGGGACGTATGGCTTTCTTTTGTTAAAGTTTTTTTTTTGCGGGGGAAGGGGACTGGGGAAAGCAAAGCCTTCACAGTAAACAACATCCCAGTCCTTTTTTATTTTTAATTTTATTATTTATTATCATTTTTTAAATGTATTTAGTATAGGATCTACAGGGTCTCACTATACAGATTGGACTCAGTGATCCTCCTGTTTTCAGCCTCCCAAGCGCTGGGATTACAGGGGTGTGTCATCACGCCCAGTCTCAGTCTTGTCTCAGCATGTCCTTGGGGTGTGGCCAGCACAAGGCATGCAGGGGATCAAAATTAACTTTTTTCATTATTATTTATTTATTTTTTTAAATGTAATTACTACAGGGTCTGCAGGGTACAGGGTATTCAGAGTCTAACTACACAGATTGGACTTGTAGTGATTCTCCTGTTTTCAGCCTCCCAAGTGCTGGGATTACAGGTGTGCACTACCACGCCCAGTCTCAATTGCAGTCTCAGCGCACCCGGGACTGGGGCTAGCACAGCACACCAGGGATCGAACCCTGGCCGCTGTGCTCTGCATAAGCGGGCGCTTTAATCTGTCAAAATAAATTTTTAATTTTGAGATGAAATTTTGTTAAGTTGGCCAAGATGAAACAGAGCATGCAGGTTTCCTGCCTCAGCCTCCCAGAGTGCTTGGATTACACACTTGCACGGTGACATCTAGCACATTTTTCACCTTTAAGTAACTTCAACCACATAACCAAAAAATTTGTAAAACAGACTAGAAATGAAAATTAGAACTGATTCTCTTTACTGTAATCCATAACAATTATCTTACTGTAGGTACTTCGGTCTTGTTCCTTTGCAAACACTCATCTAATTGTGTTTCAAATAGCATTATTTTTATGTCATAAATTTTTCTTTGTACAATACCATCTTCCCCTCTTGCTGTATGTGTGTATACTGGGGATCAAACAAGAACATGCAAGACATAGTTCCACCCTGTAACATTTTTTAAGCCTTGCAAAATGTGGTTTGCTGTTCCCTTAATTACTTACCTTATTACATTTTCTCATAGTTGAAAATATGTGAGTGGTGGATTAGGGAGAGTTGCTGGCAAGAAAATCAAACTACCTTCAGCTGGGTGTGGTGGTGTATGCCTGTAGTTCTGGCACTTGGGAGGCTGAGGCAGGAGGATCACAGTGCATTGCAGTCCAGGCTGAACTACCTACTAGTGACAAGAGTGTCTCAAACAAACAAGCAACAAGGAAAACTAAGTTGCCAAAGTCAGAGGCTTTGAGCTCTTAATCTAGAGTTTTCTTGGGGTGGGACATTAGTGGTAGACTTCACAGATTTGAAGCTAAGAAGGGTTCCACATAGACCAGGGTCAGCAGCTGTCAAAGGACCCCTCAGTGGGGGCAGAGACCCTAATTCTGTGCCCAGGGGCTGCCACTGCCATCACGTGGTCTTCAGTAAATCTCAAGTATGTAATAGAGACTTTCTGCTTGCTAACATGACATTTTCAATATGTCAATCACAATAAATGTATCAATTGTGTATTTCAATCCAGAAGACACAAACTCTGGAAGCCTAGGTTGTTGGGAGTCTTATGTACGTCAACAGACACATGGGCTGAGACAAGGCTGCTTTGGGAAAGCTCACCTGTTTCTTCGTCTTAGATGACTGGGCTGCTGCCCCTGCGCATCCACAGAGCCCTGAGAAACGAGGAGCCCGGCCCGCTGGGGCTGCAGAAGCCAGGGCCCCGGTCCCTGGCGCTGCTCGGTCAGCTGCCAGGCTGCGCCCAGGTAACCTCTGCAGGGCATCGGAGCCGTGGGAAGCTGCGCGTCGGGCCGGGAAGACCTGAAAGAGAGGTGTCTGCTGCTGCGCTAGTCCACGACCATGCATTCCTCAGTCACTGCTGGTGCCCCAGTGACACCTACCTCAGTGCTTAGAGATGGAAGGGAGAACATGGATGGGTATTTGGAGCTGAGGTTGCATGCACAATTTGAGTGCAAAGCCTCAGGGCCCTCTAAGCTCCTTCCCCAGCCTGCTGGGCCAGCATGCGAAAGGGGCTGATATCTGCAGACCTTCCTAGCCGCAGTCACGGTTTACACTGTGATAATCATGGGGTGCGTATGCCTCATTCCCAAGGTTTTACTTAGCTGTTTGAGAAGCTTCTTTCTGTGCTTGTTCACATGTTATACATAATCTTATTTTTTGCATGTATTCATTTAATATAGTTTCATTACCCCCCCTTGTTATGGCACATTTCTGTTCCAACCAATTTTAAATGTAACTTTTTATAAAATCAGCACAGTATTGAATTTATAGAACTGTTTTTGACTTTTGCTCAGCACATGGGTGCTAAACAACGCTGTCTTCTTAGTAACATTCAGAGCCCCTGCATCCCGTCGGTGTTGAATGAATGCATTTTCTACATGGTTTTCTGTTGGCTAGCCTCCCTCCGTGCTAATATGGGGTGGCCTTTAATACTCTCAGAGGGTGTCAACCATTCTGTGCTTGCGAAAGCCAAGTTTTGGGGGTCCCACTCTCAACCAGCTCTACAGAGCAAATTGTCTTGGGGTTCTCAGCAGAGATTTCTACCTCGCCTGTCTACTTGGCATCTTTTAGTGAGGTTTTACCAAAGCCCACCTGCTATAGTTTGAAGGGTGCGCAGGCCATCCATCCCCCCAGATTGGATCTTTGCTTTCTGTGAACAGGGATGGAGCCTGAGAAATCTCTGAAACCTTCTTGGGTCGTGCTGACTTTGCCTTCCTCCCTGTCCCCCACCGTGGGCTTTGCCATCTTGCAGAGATGTGCTGAGCTCTGTATCAAGGCTCCGCAGCTGATGCAGCACTCTGTTGTGTTTGTTATAATAAGGTCTCTCCCGTCATTGGATAAGGTGCTCTGTGTGTGTGTGTGTGTGTGCGCGCGCGCGTGTCTTTTTAAGACAGGGTCTTGCTATGCAGTTCCAGCTGGCCTTGAGCTCACTTTGTAGCCCAGGCTGGTCTGGAACTCACGATGATCCTTCTGCCTCAGCCTCCCAAGTGCAGGGATCACAGCATGGCACCAGCCCACCCAGCTGGAGAAAGGGCTTTATAAATAAAACTGGGGCTGGGGAGATAGCTCAGTAGAATAAGTGCTTGCCTGGCCAGTGCAAGGGCCTGAGTTCAATCCCTGGTTCCACAAAATAAATGAATAATAATAATAATAATAAAAAACCCCTGTTCCCTAATGACATGAAACTTAAGAAGTAGGGACGACATAGTGAGTATAGCGGGGTGTAATTTGATTTAGGGAAATTTTATCGTGAACTGTTCTTTCTGGTGGGAGAAAGAATGTATGACTCCTTTTCACAGGGAGAGTGTCTTACCTCAGTGGGTACTAACACGGACGGTGACCCTCTACAGTGGTTGCCAGCAACAGTATTTCTGAAAGCCTCATGTTCTGCATATTTTGCTTGTCCTCCTCCTGCTCAGCCTCTTTTTTTCTAGTTCTCATTTTTCTTGCTTTTTTTTTTTTTTTTCTTCTTCCCAGCTCTAGTGTCTTAGCACTAGACCACATCCCCCAGTCTTGGTGCTTTCTCAAACAGTATTTTTACATTTTATTATTATGGTGATTTACACTTCATCACTTTACTGTGATGGCTTTTCGTTGTAAGCCATTTTAAGCCTTTAATGGAAACTGCATGGGGTAGAAACGTATGTTGTTTATATTGAGATATCTGGTGGACTTTACATTATTGCGTTTGTTTTTTTTTTGTTTTGTTTTGTTTTGTTTTGTTTGCTTGTTTTTCAAACAGGGTCTCACTGTATAGCTCAGGTTGGTCTTGAACTCAGTTTATAGCCCATGCTGGCCTTGAACTTAAAGTGATTCTCTTGCCTCAGCCTCCAGAGTGCTGGGGTTACAGGTGTGTGCCACCATGTCCGACCTGTGTTCTTTTTATATATTTTACAGTTATGTTCTTGTGTATGAAGTTATTGGCGCTCTGTAATCTGTTATTATATCTTTTTTAAAATTTTATGTATTTAGTATAGGGTCTCACTACTATACAGCTCGGACTTGTAGTGATCCTCCTGTGTTCTGAGCTATCTCTGCTGAGCCATCTCCGCGGCCCTCTGTTATTATATCTTATTCAATCCTGTATTATTCCATTTTATTTGAATTGTATGGTATTTGTTTGATGAAATTATTTCATGTAATCATTCTTCTGTATCTTTTTTACATTCATCTCACGACCCAGCCATGAGAGAATGA